TAACATTGCAAATATATTGTGGAGCAATAATGCGAAACTTCGGTTTATCATCTTTTATTGATATCTAAAAATTATATGATAAGGTATTTAATTAAAAATAATCGTAACAAATTCTTCACTGCACTACAATGCCATAAAATTATAATATTTTTTTGTTAAAATCCATTTTTTCACTTCTATACAACATAACTAATTCTTAAACATTTTATCGTACACATCAGTTTGCTACCACCAAATTATAAAAAATATATTTAGTATTTAATTTGTACACTTTTGTACTTAGAACTTGAATTTTATTAAGTATTTATTAATAATAATATTATAAAAAATATTTTATAATAATATAATAAATGGCATAAGTTAACTACCTCAGTTCCTAATTTCTCAATAATAACAGCAATTATAAAAATTACATAAATAAGGTACATAATTCACGGATTGCATTTTATAGCTATTGTTGAATTTATTATTGCTTTATAAATGTGTTATATCACTTTATTATGCAGGTGAAAATTTTTATGACTTTCCACGCTTATTTTCCATTATATACTGTCGTGAGTAATCATTTTCCGTGAAAACTCTATTTTTTATATGACAATACAAAGTCATTATTAATGTATTTGCTGTCGCGAGGGGTGTTATTACAACCTTGCTGACGTATTGACCCTCTTGGAAAGGAAATAAATGAAAGCAAGGGGTAGTAATGTTGCTAGCAATTTTTATTATTAACAGTGAATGCAATATGAATATAATTTTTGGATTTATAATAATACTTTGTTAAACTATTTTATTCCGAGCATTTTTTTCTTTTGCTAGTTCCGATGAATTTGCGCAAAGGATATATAAAGGATTTTTTACCGTCAGAAGAATCTCAAGATGTATTGAGGAAGACTTAAGCAAACTATCTCAATATCATAACAATTTTTCATAACAAGTTATCATTGCATCACATGCTAATACTAATGTTAGGCTTGTAATTTCGTTTTAGTGTGGTATTTTACTGTAATTAATTCAATTAAGTTAATTCATTTTCTGTAATGAGTAAATTTAATCTTTTGAGTTTCATCTAATGGCATTTAAATTTTTGAAATAGGGGCAACCATTTTTGAGAAAATGCCTACAAAACACATCACACACATGCAACATACTTTTTTTTAATTTAGTCAAACTACTCAGAATGACTTAAAATATCAAGAAAATATAAAAGTAGTAATTCGGATTATATGGCGAAAACATGAACTTCTTGGGAAAAAAATCTGTAAAGTACTGAAAAAATAGATTTAATTAGTTTTTTGTGGTAAATATGGTATTACGTCATGTTATTTTATTCAATCCAACAAAAAACTAGCTTGAAGTGTATTATGTGTAATTAAGTCATTTTAAAATATAATGTGAAGAGGTTATGATGGTTTAATACAAATGCAATCATAATCGATTTATTATCTTATTAATTACATATAATTAATTGCTTTACAAATTCTGTTCTATATAAGTAAAATGAGATAGACTCAATTATAGAGCAATCACTGGACTAACTTGAATTCTCATATTAAAACCATCTTATATTCGATTTACTAAAATTATTCATGTAAATAGTCCACAATCAGCATTATAAATTTTGTATCTCAAAATCTGTTTTAGATGTGTCACCTTCTAATTTCTTACACTTTAAGTGATTTTATTACCTTTATATTAAATATAATTAATTATTTTACAAACTAGGTAAATCGTATGATAATTTACTCTTGATCTTGACTCATAAATTCTTTCAATCATCCCTAATAAGAATAAAACGTCTATATTTATCATTCATTGGGACAATTAAAATAATAATCAAAGATGCTTGATAACTTATATAAGAGAACGGATAATTTTAAATGGCATGCAATATGCAATAGATTGTGATAATGATTTGTTATGCAATATGCAATAATCTTTTATTTTATGGTTAAATTATAAAAAATATTTACCGAACGAAATAATATCTATAGATCTATTATTATTGATCTGCATGCAAGAATTAAGATTTTCCAATATCATGTTTGCGGAAGCATTGATAGACTGATATTACATTGTAAACAATTAAACTAGACAAGATTATCTTTAGTCGAAATTATAGAATATCATATTATTATTACACAGAAAAATGCATAGAATATGAGAAAAATAATTTGTTTCATCATTGTCGTGGCTCCGTAGTAAGAGCTTTGGTCTTGCAACCACTGCTTCCAGGTTCTATTTCGGCATCGAACAGTAGTAGTAATATCAATTTTCACTTAAAATTATAGATCTAACATTTTATTTCAATTGACATAGCCTTTAGGGACATGGGTAATAATAATATCACTATACAAATTTCAAAATATATAATAATAATGGGTATTACTGCCTTAGGGCAGGTGAGCTGGGTTAAACTCCAAGTCGATTCAAGGAAGAATGGTGTTAGAGGTTTTCCATTGCCATTTCACATATTTCCAATTATATGGAAGAAGTTAATTAACTTAGATTAGAATTAAATCTATATATTATCATTATAAATAAAAATCTTTAACACTAGAATGACGGAGGTTGGTTGTATAACTATTTTGCCTGATTGAGAGTCAACTTTGATAAGGGATTATGAAGGAATAGAAATTAATTTTTGTATACTTTTCAATGTACTAAAGTAAATGAAAAAAAATTTATAATAAAAATGACTTGAAATTGTTATGTATATTACATAAAAAATGCATATGAATCAAATTGTCTCGTTCCGTCATTCTAGCGTTAAAGAACTGAATAAAATTATTTAAAAAAAAAATTAAGTTATGCTTTATCACAATCTTCAATCTTTTATTTATCTTTTTTCTCATCCATAATTTGATTTACCCTGTGAAGTAAAACTAGAATTAAAATGTTGTGCACCGTCAATATTATAAATTCCTAATGATAATCTCATCACACAGAGATAGGACAATCTTAAGGTTGCCTTTTGATAATGCTAAGTTAGGGGGCGTCCATCAATCACGTGATCGATTTTTTAGGGATTTTTGAACCCCCCCTCGCCCTTGGTGATACGTCGTGATATTTAAAATAACCCTCCCCCCTCTTTCAAATTTACGTTAATTTTTTGATATTTTTTTTAAAAAATAGGTAAAATAAATACACGTAATATCTAACTAGACCCCTTCTTCGCCCACGTGATTTTTTGTCAAAATCGCCCTCCACCCTAAAGCTTTACGTAATTAACGGACGCACCCTTATAAGGGCAACTCATGGAACACTATTTTGGTTGCTGCTCAAGAAATGTCCTTTACAGCAGTATAAATAAAACTGCTAATGAATAAAACAATTATCAATTACATATCTGGATTTATCTAAACACCCAGTTCTCACGTTCTTAATGAAAATTAGCAAATAAACGTCCGAGTATAAAGTGCGCGGATGGCAGACAGTCTTATCAGTACGAATCCGCACCTCGACCAAATACAATATAGAAATTTACCGGTGGTCATATATGACCATAGTTCAATGTTCAAAAAATATATTGACACAGCTCATTCTATATTAGATCTCGATATCAAATATATTGATTAGTTTATCGTAATCGTTGATATCAAATCAAATATCAAATTCAACACGCACAGATTTCAAACACGGATATGCTATAAACGAAGAATTGTTTTGACTCAATTTGTTTTAAAATTGTGAGTGTTATGGGAATTTGTCAGTGGAATGTGAAAAACAGTTCATGTTTGGACAAGTGTTTTACAACAATCATTTTTTTTCACTCATAACAATACTCATGCAAAATATTCAACAACGCGAATATCTCATTTTTCTTGTCATGGTAACAGTCAAAATTAATAATTGTCATTGAGAAGTTAAAATATTTAAATTTTATTTATTGATTCAAATATATAATACATCTTATACATAAACACTTTTTTAAATAAATATAACTTTGAACTGCATTGGAATTATTCATATTTCTATATAAAAATCAAGATAGTATTTAACAGTTTATTAGACTCACTATAGAAAAAAAACATTAATGTAAAACTATTATAAACAATATTATTTTACACACTTGACAATAATTTGTAAAAAATGTTTATAAAAATTTAGCATTTTTTGAATAATTAAAAAATTTTGCGATTTGAATATGTTATATGTATTTAAAAAAAAATATCGATTTGTTTAAAAACTTACATAATTCTCAAAATATGTTTTTATATTGAATGTAAATATAAGATTGATGACAATATTGTTTTAAGAATTTATAATGAATTATATTCTAATCAAATCTTATATTATTAGGCTTTTAATTTTTTACATAAACAAATAAAATATTTCAATAATTATAATTAAAACTAATAAGAAGTTAATTGATAAAAATAAATTATTAAGGTCAAACCAATTGAGATTACAGCCTCACGTAAATCTTTAAGGTAACATCATTGAACAATCTAGAACTAGATTATAATCCTGTGGAAAGTATTAGTGTTTAATAATACATTGACTTTTCTGGACCTTTTAGCTATTTTTAAGCTACAGCTACTTCGTTTGGACAGTTTCTAATATTGAACTTTACTATGCCATAAAATTATCATATCATTAGGCCGAAATAAAATTAAGATATTCATCTAAATAAATATACTACATATATATATAAATAAATAATATATTTAATTACCATAATACTAATACTACATCGTCTGCTTTAAATTGCTGTTAATTATGTTTGAAGTAACAATTTTTGTTGTCAATAGGATCGTTGCGATTATATTTTGCCTTCAGTTATCAACGAATTTCTAATCTAAGTATTTAGAATCTACATATTTGTTTATTTAACCTGGTCGTATAATAATTATGGAACTATTATTAAAATTTAATTACAAGTGAACATTTATCATGTATTTAGTGAGAAATAAACATTTTGTTGACCGATATACGAATATGGCTAATTTGCTTTAAAAACAAATTTTATATGAGAAAACTTTGTTAAATATTATTTGAAAATGACTGCAACGGAAAATTGCTGTGAAAAAAATGTAGAAGATGAAGCTACTTTGAACCAGTTACAAATTCTTGGTGAAGGTGGTTTATGGTTGTGGTAAGTATATTTGATTGATAAGTTTTTCAAATTTTTATCTTTTGGATACCTTTTAATCTAATTTATCCAAGAGTTAAATATATATTTTTTCAGGATTATTTTCTTATTGACGGCATCAACGGGAATCTTCAACGGAACCCATGTGTCCTCTTACGTATTTTTAGGGTCTATGCCAGATGCCCACTGGTGCGAGGTACCAGAACTCTCAAACCTTGGCTGGACTGATGAACAAATTCGAAATGTTAGCGTGCCAGGGTAATAGATTTATAATAATGACCATAAAATTAACAATTAGTATCAGTCATCCATCTTAATAATAAAGACGTTTATCTTCATGAAGCGTATGCTAAGAATTCTATTTCTTACTAAGAGGTTTAGACAACCTTTTGAGCTGCACCATGTACCAGAGAAACTATTCAATATTTGAAAATATGGACCCAGATGAAATACAAAGATATTTGGAAGCACATGTCGATGATCCTACTACTAGATGTGAATACGGTATGAAATATTTGCAAGAAAGTGGCGTCAGCATGGTTCCAGAGGTAAGATCTTTCGATAAAATATAATATCAAATTAATAAAAAGGTTCGTTAATTAATTTATATATTTTTAGTGGGATTTAGTTTGTGAAAATCTAGCTTTGCGTTCAACCGTTCAAGTAGCGTTATCAATTGGAAAATTTATTGGAGCGTTTATATTTGGAATAATTTCCGATAAGTAAGTTTTCTTTTTCAAATGAAATTAAATCAGAATGCTTCTTATTATGTTGTTAATATATTATCATTTTCTAAATTGATAGATGAAAGTAGAGATAGAAGAATATATATTTTATTATTTTTAGATATGGTCGGAAGATCAGTTTTTTATCGAGTAGCGTTGTTTACATTATTTCTGCACCTCTGGCTGCAGCAGCTCGTGGCTATGTTGTATTTCTCTTATTGAGATTGCTTATAGGAGCAGCAGGTTCTGGTGTCTACCATACGGCATATACCTTATGTAGGTCGAGTTGACAATGATAATCAGAATATTTGATAATCATTGTTTGATATCATAAAATTATTTTTAGTGACTGAAGTGGCTGGTCCTAGACACCGATCCTGGATGAGTATAGTATTCAATTTATCATATCCAATAGGAATGCTCATCTTGGCCGCCACTGCTTATCATGTACCTCAATGGAGAGATCTTCAGTTAGCTATATCTTTACCAACAGTTATTTTATTACTGCATTGCTGGTTAGTAGATTTATTGCAACAGATTTAATTTTTTTGTCAGTAAATATAAAATATTCTTTATACAGGTATCTTCCTGAATCTCCGCGGTGGCTCATTAACAAAGGACGAAGTGCAGAAGCATCTAAAATTGTTTTTGGAGCAAAGTTTGTACCAGATACCGTTTTGGACAACGGCAGTGCCAAAGACAAATATACCAAAGTGGAAGATGGTAGGTCACTTCAAGTGGACCACACGTGCCAAAGTAATCAAAATGTGGCATATGCGGAGAAAACGGCCAAAAGTGTTCTTTTAGAAAAACTCAAAAAGAGTGTCAATGAAATGACAGCTTTGTTCAGTCATAAGGAAATGAGGCGAAGATTATTTATTTGCCATTTTGCTTGGATGGGGACATCATTGAGCTATTATGCAATGGGTAAGGATGAATTAATAAATATACATCATTTGAAGACAGTTAATTAGTCAAAAATTGGTGTTTTATTATTATTATTTTTAATAAATTTGATATTTTTAAAATTTTAACATAGATTCATTTTTTTCAGCTTTAAATGTAGACAATTTTGCCGCAGATCGTTATGTATATGTGGCGTTAACAGGTGCCCTAGAAATTCCGAGCTATTTTGTCCTTTACCGATGCTAAGGTGAGAATTTACACTTTTAAATTCTTATTTAAGTAGAAGTATAATCTATTGACTATATTAAATATTATGTTTTATTCTAGATGTTTTGGGCGACGTATTATTAATTTTATATTATTTATGACAGCAAGTTTGTGTTTACTATCTATTTTAGCCATACCACAGGGTAATTAATAAATGTTAGATAATTTATTTATAATTATATATTGTCATTGGAATGATTTTTTTTACAGAAAGTAGTATAGCGTTGATGATTGTTGGACTTGTTGGTCGTTTGTGTATTAGTGGAGTATTTTCTGTAGTTATTCTGCATACAAGTGAATTGTTCCCAACATTAAACAGAAATTCAGCAATTGGGAGCAGTTCCACAATGGCACATGTTGGATCCATTGCAGCACCTTATATCGTAGATTTATTGGTAAGATACAATTATAATCAGTTAGAAAATTATTTTAATAATTTTCCTGTGAATTTATTCCTTAGGGTGCGTTGGCCTGGTTCATTCCAACAACGATATGTGGAGCTTTTGCTCTGGCTTCCGGGTTTCTGGTGTTATTACTTCCTGAGACGAAAGGGAAAGCTCTCTGCGATACATTAGAAGAAATAGATTCACCGGGCCAAGGAAAAGTTTCCGTAAAAAATCTGTGTCATTCATCATAGTGCGAAAAAAGTCAACTAGGCGTTTCGAATTAAATTTTATACGATAATTGTAGAATTAATAATTAATACGTTATACGTTGTTAAAATGAGTAAAAGTGTTTTTTTCATTGATATTTAAAAAAAAATAAAGAATAAAACCAGTTTATTTCTTTACTAAACTCCACCCAATTATAATCGAAAAGTTTATTCATTGCTAATTAAGAAACTTTACGTTATTAAAATAATAATGATAAAAATAATTTTTCCAATATTTTACTTATTTTAAAAAACAATTATTATTATTTAAAGTTATTATTATTATTTAATCTAAAAATTTCGAGCAACTTTGTTCAAAACAATCTAATTTAAATATCAATGTTGCAATTGCAGTTCAATAGTTCAAGATTTTTAACTCATCTTTATAAATTAGATTTTTACATAACTCTAATCGTTGCAGTATTTTCTGCATATTTTATCATCTATTAATTAATTATTTGAATTCTATTCTAATTCAATTGATTAAATATTTTCAACGTGACAATTATGCAATGTCTAAACTATTTATTCTATTTTGTAATCAGAATTCGGGAATATAGAAATTCTTGAGAAACTGACATAAATTTTTTGATCATGCGTAATGATGTCTCAAATCCACAAAAACGTAGAAATTTAATTACAGAAGCCATATGATAAAAATTATATAACCTTTTTATTATTATAAGTAAGCCTTTTTTCATTATATATTGTTTTTATATTGTATTGAAATTCCATTTGTATCATAGGTTATCAATAAAAGAAATTAAATAATATTGGGTGAAGATTTAAGAAGTAGGTATTAGATTGCTAATTAGTTGGAATTTTATTATTTAACGTCAGGTGTCATAACAATGCAAACAATGAACAATAGATTAGTACAGTTTATTGAACAATGGCATGTTTATTAATTGGTAATAAACTAATTCTCAAGTTTGAGACAGGCTTTACAAACCTAATGGAGAAATCAATTTAAAATCATACATAATAGAAATTTTATGAGTAGCATAGCTTATTCATTTCGGCTTTATCGCCGGAGGTTTTATAATAAGTCGCAAAGGTAATAAGTATTCAATATATAATAATAATAAAAAATAAGTGAATATTAAATTTAGCATTATAGTTACAGAAATTTTGGAACTTCTCAATGATATACCCTTTTGCCAGCTGATTTGAGCCGTTCCGGGACATTTTTTCCAAGAATACGAAATTCGACTATGAGTTCAGCAATGGATAGGTTTATTGGTAAGTGCAATATAATCATTTATTAAATTTTAATTAATTAATTAAATATAGGGACATCAAGCTTGCATCTAGATTATTCACTCTATGGATGAATACTCCTAAATACTATAGTTTCATATCGACATAACTTCAGAAATAATTAATTATTATCCATTTAATTGATTTTTTATTTGAGACTTTATATAAAAATATTAAATTCGTATTTTCAAGTCCTTTTTATATTTATTAAATTTTTTACAAAATATTGAACTGAAAATAATATAAAGCATAACATATTTGTTAAAAGTGAAAATAAGCAATAAATACTTTACTGTAGTCTTATTTTTAAAATATTAAATGCATATTTGTATAAAATTACTAATCAAGATTACTTATATATAGATCGTTTATTAGTAAATGAAAATAACAAATTTATTTCGTAAATGAAAATATTAAATTCCAAAATTTTAAATTCATATTTTGTCAGTATTGCATGAAAAATTCGCATACATATCATTTATAATTTTTTATACAATTTTTGTTTCTAACTAAGTTCTTGCATTTTTTGTTTCAATATTGTAAATAACTTATAGATTTTTTTATGTGAATTTATTCGGTTTCCTGTTTAAAAATTAGTGACTTAGAAAAATTTATATTCTAATCTTGCAATTATCTAAAAAATAATATAACATCCTATAATAATTATCATATACCAATTACACATCCTTCTAAGAAATAATAAATAACTTTAATATTTATTGAATAAAGTAAGATGGTAAGGACTTAAATGGCTTCTGAAAATTTAATTAATAAATCTCACTTAAAAATTTGGATCTTTGAGACGTATTTTATGAATTCTAGAATCAGATGGTGCGCAATTTCTCCAAATTCGCAACATGAGCATTTGTGATAAATAAAAATAAGAAACAAAAAATGTATTTCTATAAAATTACTTTTTCAAAAAATATATGAAAAACATTTTGGTTTGAAATCCTTAAAAATCGTCCATTCTTGTCTTTATTTATTTAGGCTGCGCGCGACTGGAACTTCTCTATTTCCTCCCAAATCCGCATACTTGTCTTTCGGTTATATTTAGCATTCGGCTTCATTTATCTATCAAATGTGCGTCTAATATTCACTACCAATACCAAATATTACGTTCATATTTTGATACGACTGAGTTTCTGATTCGATTTTGTTATTTAAATGTCAGTATTATTAAGTAAAGTGCATTGTGACTACGGATTTTAGTGAATTTGTGTAAATCTTTGAATACAGCGACATGGCTGATCCGCCGGTTAAACGAGAGGTGGGCCAATTTTATTTTTACACATAATAATTGTCTATATTTGTGTTTTTGTAGAATTTTACTAATTAAGTTATTAAATTATTTTCGTTGACGTATTGACAATTGTTTTTTAACCACAAAGTCGACAACATGTTAATAAATCGTTCTTTTTGTACTTTACATCTCATCAATACTTTTTCAAAAGGTTTTTCTGATTAAATTAGATAATTATAAAATTTGCAAACAAATTTTTGTAAATCATACAAATGGCTATTTTGTAAACAATTCAAAATAAATGAGCCTTTATCAAATTCAGCAAAGTACATTAAAGTCATGTAAAAAGTCACATTTGTTGTAAAGTTGTTAATTATCATAAACTTTGATATTGAACTATATTAATTATATTATAATATTTCATTTTCTCGTGATATAGATTTTCGTACAATTAATTTACAACTCCATTACTCTCTCTATCTTAGAAATTGCTTAATTAGAATGATATTTTTGCTTTTTTTATTTATTTCATCAATCAATTAATTTATTTATTTTTATTTATTTGATTGTTATGACTGTTGCTGTCATCTGTTTTATTACAAAAAAATATTCTTATTTTGTGTACACAAATGATAAACAATTTTTAGCGTATTTATTTTTAATATTAACATTTTCTACAATTATATCACTGTCGAATTTATAATTTTCTCTATAATAGGAGTCTTATTGCGCATCAAAGAGACCTTAAATTGCAACAGAACTATTAGATATATAGCCATCGTAGTAACCGTCTACAAAATCAAAAATATATATTAAAAACAGATAATATTCTAAAAATATAAATAAATCATCGCGAGAGTTGATTATATTTCAAAGATTATTAAATACTTTACCGAGGTTAGAAGTTCTCTGTTAACATTTGCGTAACCTTTTAAACTAACTATGGCTGGGTTCATTTCGATTGCTTGGATGAATAAATCGATCTGGGAAATAAACAAATAATTAAAATGATAAGGCGAGATGACGAGTTTAATTATAAATAATGATGTCCAGTAATTGAATTGAACAGTTCAACATTGAAAAATATTAAAACTTATACGTACCTCACGTGCAGTTTGTTGATCAACTTTCAAAAGATTTATAGTTAGCAAAGTATCTTGAACACCTTGAGCAACCTAAATTTTATCATAAAATTTCAAGTAATTTATAATTATTATACAAATTATTTGCTTACTCTTAATGTTGCTCGATGAGAACAGTTGCAAAAGACGTATAATAATGTTGAACAGTACAAAGTATCAACTATTAGACCAATTTCTTTAAAATTAAACTCCAAACCATGATCCACAATTTCGGATAATGCGCCATATACAGCAATGGTAATATTACAGAACCTAGAATAAAGGAAAATTGTTATAAAAATCAAAATATTAATTTGCGATTCTTTTTGAATGGCAATTTATTTTTCTAACCGACTAAGACCTTAATATTTATAAAATGAATGTTTTGTATAAATAACACTTACATAAATAAGCAGTATGTGGAATAAGTTCTTGCATAAGCATTTCCAAGGGCTTGTAGAAGTTCACTCAAATTCAGCCAAAGAAATCTATATCGTGATATTAGGCCAGAATTGCACTCGATTCCAACATCCTGATAATATAGTACAAAAATACAAAACAGTCTTTGCATATTAATAATAGTGAATATTAGAGACTCATACATTTAAATAATATTGAACTTTATTGAACATTATTGCGGCTTGTATACGAGCATATATAGTATAGCATAACATATAGATATGTTATATAGTATAATAACATATAGTATAGCATAACATATAGATATGTTGGTGGCGATGAGTTTAATCAGAAAATTAAAAAAACTTCGAAGAAGATATTTGAAATTTAAAGATCAAATCAATCAATAGTTTCTTTCATAGTTTCATTAACCATTTGCAAATAATTTACTATAATTAAATAGTTAATTACCTCTTTAAATGAGTCGCTTAGACTGACTGAGGCTGCCTCTATAGCTCTGCAATTAATGAACCATAAAGAGCAGTTCATATTTATCATTATTATGATATGATAATATGCAGATGTATGCCATAACGAGAAACCTATGAAAAAATGATTATTTTATTTGTACAAAACTATGCATAATTTTATTAAAATATTACCTTCTAAGAGAGCGCTTAATGCCAGTAGAAATATGACTGCACAAACCAAACATCCCACAGAAATTATTACAATTAAAGTTTTCAACATAGGAAACTCCAAATCTTTACCAGTTACTCGATAATACCTTAACTGTTAAAATAAAGAGAATAAAATCTTTCAATAAATAGTTAAAACTTCAATTAAAAATCAATTATTCTCTACCTGAAATGTGCCCCACATGGTCTTGTAAACTGCTACTCTTTTAGCAACTCCCCAGCCTACAAAAGGTATCCAAAAATGTGGCACCAAAAATATAACAAAAATAATACCGTAAATATAATCGTCGAATTTTTTCGTCGTCTGCAAAATTTTAACACGTTCATAACCGACAACGAGGACTATTACAGTTGCTACGATGTAGAAACAAAAAGCGTAGACCATTGCTCCAGACTTCCATTTGAACGTTACTTTTCCTATTTTTTAAAAAATCAGCCATTAGTAAATATTTTACTATAAAAAGTAATTTTTAATATATTATACCAGGAGCACTTCTAAGTACTGGCATCACTGCCAAATATCGGAAGAGTACCAAAAGTAGTTTGTGGTCTCTATAAAATTGGTCGTGGATCTCGACCATGTCTCCATTTGCTGATGAAAGACGTTCTCTTTCCAACCGGCCTTGTCTCGTTCGGACATAATACCTAATAATTTAAAATATTAAGTAAATGCCTCGCTTAATATATGAATTTTTGGATATTTTTTCAAAAGATGTTCGTCTGCATGTCCTCATGTTAGAAATTATGAATCGAAAAGAACCTCGAGTCGGCTCGAAGTTAGTTAATGGTATATTTCGATTTAAAATAGATATGATATTATTCTATTATTTTAATATATTTTAAAGTAATTATTATTACCTGGCTGCCCTTTGGCCTTCCATAATGAAGCAAGATCACCATGGAGCAGAGAATGTGATAATGCTTCTTCGAGAGCTGCGTCGTCAATACGCACCATCTTTGTTAAAAATTAAATTAATTTTTTTTCAAACAATTTTTGTTAGAAGATTGTATTATAAAATATTATGAACTCCTGTTTTATGATGTTCTGCAATACTTTATTTTATTTGGTAAAGACTAAAATGAAAAATTTATTCATTTTAGTTATAAGATCACCTTTCGGTTTCAATGCAGATATTTGACTGATGAAAACATCACAAGGAGCGTCCGTCATTCTTGCACTTGATCATTTATTAATCACAAGTTAGGACCATAAGCGCACTAAAAGTTTTTGGGCGAAGAATTAAAACGTGTAAATAAAATTGATAGGTATATTAATAATAATAATAATAATAAATAGCAGTCTGCCCGAAGGCACGTCCATGGTAATAAATGATTCCTTTACCCTTCGTCGTCTATTATTCCTATTACCACTATTCCTTCCCCTTTTTTTCATGGATTATGCTTCTGCTTTCATGTTTCTTGATCCTGCGCTTTGTCTTTCAGTTCCCTGTATTTTATCTTCTCGCGTAAGTCGTCAATCATTTGCATTCTTCTTCTTCCCATTGCCTTCAGTTCTTCTAATTTACCTTCGACGACGACGTGCAGGAGGCGGTGTTTCGATCCAGTTTCCTTTTGTTCTCAGGATTGTGCTCAGCAGAATTTTTTAAAGAATTTAAAAGAACAATATTTTTAGATATTTTTAGAAAAGAAGAAAGAACAATATTTATCGGTATAATATATCTATTATCTAGACAATTGTCTAGATAATAGATATTTTATACCGATAAAAATCTAAAAATATTGTTCGAAATTTCTAATCGGAGTTTCATTTTCTTGGACAGCAGCGATTATTTAAACCTTATTGTTAGAGCTTTTTGAATTACTATGCATTTATATGCAAGTATCCCCCAATAATCCTGAAATATTTTGGGGAAATATTGTTCAAAACAATAGAACTACGCCGGGTTTTGTAGCGATTGTTTAAATCTGTTATATTATTATATATTACAATTAAATAATATTTAGAACATCTAATGACAGAATTATTTTTCGGCGCCTATGTTCATAATAGCCGCCCTTTGTGGCCTGGATGCAATTTTCAACACTTTTCTTACTTAATTATTTCTGATGTTGACTCTCAGGTGAAGGTCAATCGAGTATTTATACCGAATATGACTAGCTTTTCATTACGTTTGAAATTGATATCGATTTATATCGTTTTTATTTATAAATATCAGGTTTAATAAATGAAATAAATTTTTATTCTTTAATTATAGTAATAATATTTTTTGCGTGATATAGTTAACTATAACAAAGACAACAAAATAATTATTTTATTGTCTTTGTTTGGATACAGTATTAATAATATTCTGATTGGCTATTTATAAAATTAAAATAATTATAAAAATTATAAATGTTTATCGAAAATTAAAATCATTTATCTCAATTTAATTAAATTTATAGTTGAAGTTGATTTTAAAATTGAATAAGGCTCGATTTTTGCTTGCACATGTATTTTGTTAGATAAATATAGTTTATCTTCTAAAATATCATATATTTTCAAAGCAACCCAATTTTTTATTAGTTAAAAATGCGCAAGTTTCAATTATTCCATTTTATTATTTCCTTGAATTGACTAAATAAACCATGCTTTTGTAACCTTCTACGAAATCGAGGACCATATCAAGGCTTTTCTTCGGATATTTCAATGTTCATGGAAAATAAATAACTAATATATTAAAAAGGCGTGAGAGATAGTTTTATGAATAACATTTTTATTTAAGCTACATATATTTGGTTCGATTTTATATTAATAGTAGGTGTTATGGAAAATAATGAAGATATTGAACCCTATTATTAATTAATCTACTGATATTTTGATGATTAATAAATTGATTAATTCAGGGTTCAAAAGTTACAACAAAATATCATGAGAAAGACGCCCAAGATCAAGCCACTTTAGCACAACTGGATAAACTCGGAGAAGGGGGATGGTGGCTATGGTAAATTCATTCTAAATTATATTAAACTCTTAGATTAATTCACTTAAGAAGTAATTATTTTCAGGTCGATGTTCTTTCTGATTTCTTCCATTGGAATCTTCAATGGAATTCATGCGATATCAACAATATTTATAGCAATAGTACCTGATACCTACAATTGCAAGGTACCAGAGCTGACAGCTTTAGGTTGGTCTGATGATCAAATACGAAGCATCAGCGTACCAGGGTAAATATTGAAAATTGCGATCCGATAATTATTACTATAATTAATCAATATCACCGTAAAATCATTTTTGAAATTAACTATGGCAGAATCAAATTACTTTTTCAACAACTAATACGTTGTTCTTTGACAGAACTTTTATCTGTTGGTTTTGGTAAACGTAATTTTTGAAATATGTGTTTAGAATATTAATGAAATTTTTTCATTGGTTATTATTAAAAAGGAACGTAGAACAAAGCTGCAAAATGTATAATCGCGATTATGCAGCTCTGGCAAATATGACTGATGAGGACTTAAATGACTATTTGAAGACACATTCTAATGATTCGGTAATTTCTTGTAAATATGGCATGGAATATGTACAAGAACCTTTGACCAGCTTTGTTACAGAAGTAAGTTACTGCATACTTATATATAAACTAGTGTACGTATATATATATATATATATATATATATATATATATATATATATATATATATATATTTTGTAATGTTCTCATTTATTCAAAACTTTAACAATTTCGTTTTTTTTCATTAAATTAAAAAAAATCAATAATATTGAACCATCAGATTCAAATTTCAATCCGGATTTTATTTATTTTTATAAAACCAAGCTTAAGCTTTATAAAAATTTATATCAAACCAAAAATAAATAAAATCCGGATTGAAATTTGAATCTGATGGTTCAATATTATTGATTTTTTTTTAATTTATTGAAAAAAAACGAAATTATTAAAGTTTTGAATAAATGAGAACATTACAAAATTTATAATGAATAACCAAGTGACTTTTATAAATGCGTTATATCATGGTTATATCCTATTTGTAGTAACGTATTATTTATAGACAATATCATTTTATTGTATATTGTAATTATATTTTTTGACGCTAATTAAAAATAAATTAAAAACAATTGAAAAAATGTCATAAATTGGATTAAAGATCGCATCTAAAATTATAGTATAAATATTATAATTTTTGTACTGTCAATTTTCTTTCAAAAATCATAAATCGTTTTTTCTCAGTTTCCATAAATATTGGCAACTAAAAGTTTAGTTAGTGCTTTGTTTTTTTCTGTAACGATCTGTCAAAATTTATTGAAATTTATAAAAAAATGTATTTCATACATTATTAATGTTAAATGCAATTTTTAAAATAGCCTATCAACTAAGTTGGATATATATGCACACGATGAGCCAATAAAATTTAAAATCGGTTCAGTGGTTTGGGCGTCCATCGCGAACCAACATCGTGACACGATCGTTATATATATACATAGATAGATATAATATAAATCTTTATCATAATTACAATTTTTAGTGGGATTTAGTCTGTGAAAGATTGTACTTGAGATCAACTATCACCACTGCATTGGGTATAGGAAAATTTGCCGGAGCATTTATATTTGGAGTTATTGCAGATAAGTAAGATAACAAAATTTCATTTCATTACAGAAATCAAATATTGAAAATGTTACATTTTTTTAATTTTTTAACTTATAATCTTAATAAAATTATTTTAAAATATTTTAGATATGGGCGCAAGCTATCCATAATAATTGGCAGTATTATTTTTATTATAACAGCTCCCTTGCAAGCAGTAGTAAATGACTTTCTTCTCTATTTCTTCCTGAGATTCCTTGTTGGAGTATCTGGAATTGGTGCATACAACACTGCTTACACGCTCCGTAAATACATAAAAACCATTATAATAAAAACTATAAATCTATAATATATATTCATATATCTTTAAATTATTTTTTCAGTAAGTGAAATATCTGGTCCTAAGCACCGAGGATGGATGAGTATAGTAATTAATTTATCATACGCCATCGGAATGATTATAATATCTTGTGCCTATTATTTTTTCAAACCATGGAGACAACTCCAATTAGCAACCTCTATACCAACTGTTTTGCTATTAATCCATTGCTGGTTAGTATAAACATCAAGTTTAAATCGACATAATACATATAATTTAATATTTTAATCCCAGGTTATTGCCCGAATCTCCACGCTGGCTCATCAACAAAGGCCGAAGTAAAAAAGCTGCCAAAATAGTTTTTGGCAGAAAATATGAATATAATGTTGCATCAGCGACTCCTGCCACAAGTACTCAAGCAGATGGTGGTAAAAAACCATCTTGCTGGCAGAAAGTTAAAAATAGTTTTGTGGAGATAACTGATATACTTAAGCATACAGAAATGAGACATAGATTACTTATTTGCCTTGTTACTTGGTTTTCAAGTGCTCTCGGTTACTATGCTATGGGTTAGTATCTACAATATATGGCATACTAAAATTATTGTTTTTAATAAATGATTATTATTGCAGCAATAAACGATATTAATTTGCCTGTCGAAAAAATGATATACGGCATTATGAGTGGATCGCTTGAGTGTATAAGTTATTTCATACCTTTGCCGCTACTGAAGTATGATAAGATAAAACAAAATATTAAAAAAAATATTATTGCTGGATTAATATTTGGGTTTATTTTCAGATTTTGTGGACGCCGAACTATAAACTTTCTATTATTTATGTCTGCTACGGCGTGTTTCATACCAATTCTATCTTTCAGTTTAGGTTTATATCAATTGTTTTTGCTATTTATAAAATTTTCAATATCTTGTATCCAATATTTAATCTTTTTTTTAGATTATGCTTATACATTAATGGTAATTTCACTTATTGGTCGTTTATTCATGAGTGCAGTATTTGCAGTAGTTATTTTGCATACACTCGAACTATTTCCTACTTCGAACAGAAGTACTGCACAGGGGTTGAGTTCTACAATGGCAAATGTTGGGTCAATATCGGCACCATACATAGTTGATTTATTGGTAATTATAATTTTAGCTTCTCGAAGAAAAAATTTGATGAATCTCTGATCAATTTTATTAAATATTTTAAATTGCAGGGTGATGTATCTTGGCAATTTCCTATAGGTTTTTGTGGAGTATTTGCATTTATTTCCGCAGTATTGGTTTTATTACTTCCTGAAACGAAAGGACGACCTATGTGCGATACGCCAGACGATATAGATGGTCCAGAACAAGGAAAAGTTTCAATAAAAAACATATCGTGTCGTCGACGTTCATAAGATATTTTAAAAGCTTATATTCAATTTTTAACAATGCTAACATATGGATAATTACTAAATTTTTTATGTTAAGATGTATTTTAAGAAAAACTAAGATATTTTATAAAAATTCATAACTACTACATATAACTAATAAAATACACAACAAATTTTTAAAATATTTTTTACAATATTCTTTTTGTGGGTATTACAGATTTAAAAAAGTGAATCTGTGTAACACTCAGTTTTATATACTTCCTAGATATCTACACAAAAGTCTTATTTGGACTACATATATAGTAATAATTTATTCTAAATTTATAAAAATATGAGTACACTGTGGTAATAGTATAATTTGATCTATTTTTAAGTTGTTACAAAATTTACAACTGTCGTAAGAACATTTAATAAATATAAGAACATAATTTCAAATATAATTAATAGCGCCATTGTACGGAAGTAACCAGTGTTACCAATGTTAAAATATTTGAAGATTTTTTTATTTTAATAAATCTAAAATTTATTTTAATAAATATAAAATCTGCGTTTATTCATACTATATTTATTGATTAAATATGTTTCAATAATATCTTATTAATATGTGAATGAGAAATGAGTTCGATCGTTACACATTTTTTATAGTGAAGTTATGTCATCTAGTGGCGTCCATTTTTGTTTGTAAATAAATTAAAAATGCTTGTCAATTTGAATCATATTCAAACCATTTCTTTATTTTTTAATAAATATGGTTAATATAAAGTCTTGCTTTTTGAAGTGTGTGAAAAATTTACATCCGCCTATTTTATTAACTGATGGACAAGAAATTTTTATTGGTCGTTGCCCTACAACAAATATTACCGATGTACAGTTATCAAGAAAGCAAGGTTAGTTTGGGTTATTTAAAAGCGTTTTGTATATAAAACTCTTATTTGATTATATAAACAACCTATATTCTCAGTGTCTTTACAAGCTGATTACAAAACAGCTACAGTCAATTTCAAACAAATCGGTCCTAATTCATCTGCATTAGCTGGTATCGAAATTAAAAGAAATGAAAACCATAAATTGAAGCATTTAGCAAAAATTGAACTTCTTACTGGAAAATATGTTTATGAAATAAATTTTGAACCAAAACCAATTTATCTAAGTGACGGTACAATTAAAATCGAAAATGAAGATGCTGCAAAATCTGAGATTGATGTAAAATCAAATAGTTCTCAATCCAAAAATGATAAAAGGCCAAGATCTCCTGAAGACGCAAATGGGATAACTAAAAAATTTAAAACTCATAATGTAAGCTTACAAAGTAATGTAAAAAAAGGTGATTACAACACTACATTAGAGATTACTCAAGATACATGGGAAGATGTGAGTAATGGAAAGTTGTTGATTTTTACAAAATCAGGGGTCACTGCCAGTTCAAAGGTAATTATACTGAAAATAAAATTGTTTTATATACTGCTCTTAATTTAAATGAGAAATAAATAAAATAAAATAAAATTATGTTTATTATATCAATTTTTTGTCTGGTATTTCAATTAATATTATTATTAAATATTTTTACTAGATAGCTGCTTACGATCTAGATGGTACGCTTATTAAAACAAAATCTGGTCTAGTTTTTGCAAAGAATAAAGATGACTGGCAAATAGCCTTTAAACAAATACCAAAACATTTGAAGGAATTGGAAACACAAGGATACAAGCTTGTTATATTTACTAACCAAGCTGGCATTGGTAAAGGAAAAACTGACCCTAAAGAATTTAAGGTAACTGCATGGGTATCTAGTAAATAATAACATTTAATATTGAATAATTTAAGGACTTGACACATCTATATATATAGATGACTTTAAAAATGTTGACCTATTGATTTTTTAATTCATGTACTTTGCAATTTCTCCAGTTTACTTTTATACTTTTTACAGGGCAAGGTTGAAGCAATTTTAAATAAGTTAAATGTTCCAATGCAAGTTTTTATTTCAACCACAAAAGGAATTTACAGAAAACCACTTACTGGTATGTGGAAAGTGCTGACAGAACAGGTATAGTAATGTAAATTTGGTTTATAGTACAACATAATTTATTTATTTCATACTTATATGTTCTTGGATCTAGAAAAATTGTGGAGTTTCTGTATCCAAAGCAGATTGTTTTTATTGTGGTGATGCAGCTGGTAGACCAGATAAATGGGCACTTGGCAAAAAGAAAGACTTTTCTGCTGCAGATAGATTAATGGCAAAAAATCTGGGAATTGCATTTTACACACCTGAAGAACACTTTGAAGTAATAATTCAAAATGGAATATAATTAATTCATTTATGTACAGTTATTGATTTTTTTTTATCTATTAATTCTTTAGAAAGCAAAAGTAGTACAGTGGAATAAACCAGGATTTGATCCTCCCTCCTTAAAAAATTTGAATATTTCTAGATTTGACCCACCTAATGCAAAACTAATTCAAAGTGAACAAGAGGTAATAAGAGCAACAACTAATAATAAGCTTATTTTATCAATGCTCAATGTTCAAGAATTTATTTGTGCTATTATATAGTTAATTCTAGAATTTAAATATAAAATATGATATATATGATTATAGGTTATTGTTTTAGTGGGTTGTCCAGGGTCCGGAAAATCTTTCATCAGCAAAGAACTTGTACAATCTGGATATGTTCATGTAAATCGTGATACATTGGGCAGTTGGCAAAAATGTGTTGCAGCAATGAAGAATGCTTTGCAGGTATTTGTAATGATATAAATGAAACATGAAATGCTGATAGTATATTTTGATTTGGGTAATCAATTGAAATTAATGGAAATAGAATGGCAAAAGTGTGGTTGTGGATAATACAAATGCAGATAAAGAATCTCGCAACCGCTACATTGTTGGGGCTGGAAAAGTAAAAGTTCGTTGCGGTGTTATGACAACAAGTTTTGATCATTGCAGACATAATAATATATTCAGAGAACTAACGGATAAAACACATAAGGAAATTAAAGATATGATACTGTTTTCTTATAGGTATGATCAACATGCTTTAAAATATCAAAATAATTAAATAAAATATATATTTTTATTATTATATTCCAGAAAAAATTTTGTTGAACCAACATTAAGTGAAGGTTTTGCAGAAATATTTAAGATAAATTTTATTCCACAATTTGATAATAAAGAACATGAAGAACTGTATTATATGTATTTATTGGAGAAATAAAATTGCAGAAATAATTTTGATTTTTCAAATCTAAAGGTTGTACAATAAATAAGTATAAAATAAGTCTTTTTTAAAATTTAATTAAGATAATGTCCAAATCCAAATAAAATCCATGGGATCTTTGAAAATTTGAATAAATGATACGGCCAAAACTTTGTTTAAAAATCCATGGAAGATATCTTTGAATATTTCATAAAACTTATTTTAAAAATCAAGTTTCTAACCAGATAGGATCTAATAAGAATAATAGGATGACATAATTCACATTTAATTATTTCAGTAGTGTATGTGACGTATAAAACTAGTAGTATTAAAATACTGCAAATTATTTAATTAAATCTGATTTATATGCTATTCATATCTTTCTCTAATTGAATTGACTTATTTCACATTTAGAGAGCCTCTTTAGAGGCCTTAGATGCGGAGTAAGTACTTCTAATAACTGCTGGTGTAAATTGGGGAAGATAGTAAAAAAATCGGGAGGCAAAAGCGTTTTAAGACGCAGAAAATTCGGAAGGCCAGAATGAATATTGTTGCCTGAAAGGTTATCAAACAGATTACACCTGTCCCCACCCCTCTAATCCTACGCTGGTCACAGTTAGTAAGAGTCCTAGACAATATAATGATATGGGTTGGTGTTTGTAGGGCATTGGCATAAGCACTCAAACGAATCAGTGTGAGTGGTTAGTGTTATTATTATATTATTATATTGTCTAGGAGTTAGTGTGTGAGTGTTGTGCCACAGAAGACGACGCAGGTCCCAGCTAAAGGTCAGATCATTGGTTCAAACGACCAGAATCTAATAGGAATTTTCTTATTAGATTCAAGTCTTTTGCATGTTTCGATTTCATACAACATATTCTAAGAATAAAAATGCATTTTCCAATTTGTAATTTAAGAAGGGATTTGAAATGCACTTGAATCACTTGCCATACTTCTCTATTTGAAATATTTCCTCTCCCGCTAGGCAGGTTCGGTAACAGAGCGATCGAATCTTATGTCATCCATAATGGCAATACTGTTAACAATTGACATTTCTATTGTGTAACTGGATCTAATTTGCAGTTTTAACATAAATCGTTAGCAATTAGCAAGATGGCTTTGCAATTAGCTAAAGGCTTGTGCAGTAGAAATCTTGGAAATCAAATAAGTCTTTTGAGAAATATACCGAAGATTACAAATGTCAACTCGCGTTGTGTCGTTATCAGGGCAGAAAAAGCTCAACCTGCTGCTTTAGAATCTCATGATGAACGTAATATGCGTCTCAATCGACCGCAATCACCACATTTAACTATTTACGAGATTCAGTTAACAAGTACTCTTTCCATCACTCACCGAATGACAGGAATAGCCTTAACTGGTTATGCAGTAGTTCTGGGTCTCGGTGCTTTAGTAATGCCCCATGACTTTAATCATTATGCCACTATGATTGAAGGTATTTTTAGAATTTACTCTGTTATCTAAATTAATACCATATATCTATCATGAGAAAGCAAATTATTCAAATGTATCAGAAATATTTAGATTTTGTATGTTTTAGGTTTGCAACTTAGTGCTCCATCATTAATGGCCATTAAGTTTGTGTTAGCTTATCCTTTTGCATACCATATGGTCAATGGCGTTCGTCATCTTGCTTGGGATGCAGCTAAGTTTTTAACACTTAAAGAAGTTTACTCAACTGGCTATGCAATGCTTGCCGTTGCTACAGTATTTGCTGCTGTGTTAGCTTCTCTTTAAATATATTTCATATTAGTCATAAATAATGTACATAATTAATTAAAAAATATTTTATGAAGCTACTTGCAATGTTTGTATCTTAAAAAATTATAATTATTTATTTAATTCTCATATTCTATTTATATCGGTTTTCTGTCATCACAAACTTCTCATTTGTTATGTTATTGCAGCTATGCAAATAATAAAATTAATCTTTATATAAAACTTTGTATTTCAAAAATTAACAAGTTTGATTACTACATTCAAAATACTTTATATATATTAGTCTTATGAATTGATTATTTTTATATATTTCTATTTCACCATTAAAACTCGGCAGCAGCATGTATATTTTAAAATAAATATGGGATTGCAGTGGGTTGTTGATGCACATGATATATATTTAAATATCATACACTATTTCTCCGTCAGTGATAATTCTAAAATTTCTTGTAGAATTTGCTGTTCTCTTTGGCGTTCTCTTTCTAAGTCACTCTGAGCCTGTTGACTTAATAATAATGCCAATTCCAAATCACTGTCAGCAGTATCTTGTGGTATATTTTCTTCTGATGTTACTTGTATTGCACTCCTAGATAAACTCTCTTGTATTGCCCTTGAATTCCAAAAATTATAGTTTTTATATGACTCATTAAATCATAATGCACACGCATGCTTGTTGCACATACACCTTATACCATGCTAGAATAATAACATAGATCCAAAAGAGGGCTGCTGTTAATTCCTACATGCAGATTAAGTTCTGATTCATATTTTCATACAATAGATTCAGAAATATATTTATCTCTTTACCTTCAAAGAAAGCAATGATATTTGCCAAAAAACGACAATTGATAATTGCAAGTTTGGCTTTTAATTCTCTCTACATCTCCATTTATTTACTATATATAACTAGTTAAACATGCTATCCATTCTAGTTTGCAATTGTTGATTTATAATAACTTTAGTTTACCTTTGTAATTCTTTCTCTTCATCTTCTACATTATTGGACGGAGAATTTGGTCTTTGGCCTCTAAGTGCCTCCCAAATATCAACCTGATCATTTTCACTGCCAGCTTCAATTAGACTTTGTTGAATAGCATATTGTAAAAGATCATCTTCGTCTTCAAAGCTGTGCTGCCTTCGTCCTCCAGGTCCTAAAGTATTTTATTTCATATTCATATTCTCTAACATTACAATTTTTATTTAAATATATCTTACATGTAAAATACAATTTTAAATTCATACCTATTTTTACATAATGTGGTGGTGCCACAAAGCATTCATCTCCAACAATACATGTTATTTGTGATTCTTCTTTAATTTGACTTATATTATTCACTGGTGTTTCTAAGGCAAATATGTTGCCAAATGTTATTCTAGCGTTTATTACATGGAATAATGGTATTTCTGTAAATGCAATTCATAAGATCACAAATTACCTAATGCTAAAAAATCTAATAATTACCTATTTTAACAGGAAACCCTGCTGGAAGATGCATTGTTATAAAGTCTTTAAGTTTATTAATATGAGGTGAAGCCATTGTGGCCATCAAATCTAGTATTGGCATTATTTGTTGTTGCAATTGCAATGGATATTCCTCACAAAGCCATAAAGTTGCCCTAAACTTTTGCACCTAAAATTTGTGATAAATTTTTAACATGTATTATATACAAAAGTACTTCTGCTATTTTTTTTACTTTTGTTGTCATTTCTTTCGGTCTACCAATGTCTCTGCCCATTAAATCTTCTTGAGAAAAATATTCTTCAGCTGTGATGTTTGACACATCTAAAGGTAAAATATATTTATTTATAAACATTACATACAAAATGTAAAAAATGTTCCATTAAAGAGTTTGATATTGGGAAAATACTCGTAAATCTCACTTGTGTTGTTGTGAATTCGCTCTTCTTCAGCAATTGCAGATGCAGTTGGTTCTTCATTTTCTGCTAGTCCAAGTAAATTCTGAAAAGGTGATTTTGGACTCCTAGCCTAAAAAAAATAGTAGTAGCCTAAATTTAAGAATAGAAATAGTTAAGTAAATACAATGTGAAAATATCAAAAACTTGCCTTAATTTTGTCTATCTCAGAAAGATGTTCAGTACGTGTTCTTGTTACAAATTCTACATTACTTGCTCCAAACACCTTGCAATCGTACCCGTTCACAATTTCTGCCTTGTCTGATCGCCAGCCCCAAATTCCACTTTTGTTTCTAACAATTCATATTACATTTAAAACAGCTGTTTATAATATTTATTCACTTAATGGCAATGTAATTAAAAATTTTACCTTTCAAAGCTTATTTTATCTGTATCAATATGATTTGTACAGATGGGTGCAGTTAATCTGGCTGACAATATATCTTCAGAAGGTATTAAAGCTCCATTTGCTGCATCTGGTGATAAACTTCTGAGAGTTTCTAAAGCTACAGTACAAGTTTCATGATCAATCTCCATCAATGTTGCAACATCATCTAAAAGGTATAGTTTATAATGTAACTTTAATAATAATCTAAAACATTTATGCCAAAATAATATAAAATTACCTTCTCCTTTGAATATATATGACCTATCACCACGCTGCCAGTTTGTGTTATCAAATCCAAGCAAAGTTGTATCTATTCGAACATTTGATCCTTGCTTGTAAACTCTATATACATCACTGGGGCACATACGAGACACCAGTGGCACTAAAATTAACCAGTGGAAATAAATTAATTATGTTATGATAAATTCAGAGCAGTTACAGCTTACTCCAACTGGTAAATTCCCATTTCATCTCTATATAAAAATCAGGAACATCCTTCAACATTTGTAATAACTTGGGAATATCTCCTACTCTACTGCTATGTCTTTGAATATCACGTTGTTCCAATACCATAGATAACATTTCTGGATCACCTATATTTGAACACAAGTGTTTATTGAGCCAATTTTTTTATTATTGCTTAAAAAATAGATCATTAAGATACACTTGAGTATAATTATTTACTAATTAACAAAATATAATTTAATAACAATATAATATATGACTTTCAATTGTATTACCTGTTGCAACAGCTTCTTGCACAACCGTCCATCCTTCAGCATTAGAAGCATTTGCATCAGCATTATTTGCAAGAAGAATTTGAGAACATTCTAAATAACCCAAGGTTACTGCGAGCATAAGTGGTGTTCTTCCACGTGGATCTAACGCTTCTATATAATGCTATATTAAATAGAAATAAAATATGCATATAGACAGACGAATATAAGATTTCTGAGTATTTAAAATAATTGCTGTTGACTTTGCATATGAAATACAAATCTGAGCCATCAAATTATTAAAATTAACTCACTTCATTTTTATCAAGTTCAGTTTTAAGTGATTCATAATCATTGTGCCAAATTAACCAATGTAGAGGATACGCGTCTTTAATACAGTCGTTATTAGTCATGTTATTATTTATATAATCATTTAATATTTTAATTAAATTAAGTTCTTATGTATAACACAACATCCTAAACGATAACACTAAAAAACTATGATATGGTAAATCTTAAAAATAATTTATCAACCTCTTTGAACACTATTAAATATTTATTAATAAATGATCGAAAATATAAAAGTTTTACTGCTACTTTTCTACATGTATAAAATTACACCGGCGAAACGAAAGTGACAGATGACTTGACATCACGTAAATGACAATCAACATTTGCGCAAGAGAAGTTGGTCACCATGAATGCATAATATTTTGATAATGTCTAAGTTGGTAGCACTGGCTGTTACTTTGCGCAACGTATTTGAAATTTTACAGTATTGTAAAATAAAAAAGTATTGGAACTGGATCATAAATAAAGTGAAACCTCGCCTGATCTTCTAACCTTATACAACTAGACAATTTGATTTAAATGTATACTAAATGTGCTTCATTTATAATTATAGTTGCTCAAGATTAACACTGGCTCTCCACATAATATTGATGGATGGATTACACAGATATTTATATTGCTGCAAATAATTATAAAGAAATGGATTCAGGTAATATCAGGTTATAAGTGTCAAAAGTGCAGTATTGTTAAAAAATATGATTTTATTATACCTAAGTCTAAAAAGCTAACACATTTTTAAAACTAATTTCATAAAAATAAATGTAACTTCTTTCAAAATATTGAGTTTTTATACAAATTCGAAAAAACTCAAATCATATATATGGAAAAGATAGAGTTGATGGAAGAAAATATAACAAATTCCAAATAATAAAATTAGTATAACAACATATTATCAATTGATATCAATAATACCAATGACTAGGCTAAACTCAAAATGAACTAATTTTCTAATAACTATTAACTATTAATTAGAGAAATGGAATCTATCTTTAGTATAATATAATCATTATGCAAAGGCTATATCAATCGACTTTAAATTATTATGAACACCCACTCTCATTAGTAACAGCAAACATGTTCCAATGACGTTTGGTATTTATTACAAATATTTTAATAATATTAACAACAAGAACTTTTTGCAGATTCAGCTTCAACTAAATTATAGTCCAAAGTATTTGGTTTTGCAAAACCTGTTTTGATACCATCCCAACCTTCTTCAATTTTATATTCTCCTGATAAAATCATGTTGTAAATTTCTTGTGTTACAACAGAAAAAGCTTCCTCAACATTGTAACCGGTACGAGCTGATGTCTCAATATGATGCAAACCATTTTGCTCAGCAAAAGCAAGAGCTTCTTCTTTAGATACTTCTCTTCTTCCGCCTGTGCTAAGAAGATCAAGTTTACAACCGATAAGAACAAACACAGGTTTATGAGGCTCTATATGTCTCTTAGCTTCCATCATCCACAGTGGAATATGTTCAAAACTTGCACGATTACAAATATCATACACAAGTAGTGCCCCAACAGAATTTCTATAATAGGATTTTGTAATTGAACGAAATCGCTCTTGTCCAGCAGTATCCCACAACTGTAATTTAATTCTTGTTCCATCTTTCACTTCAATAAGACGTGCAAAAAAGTCTACACCGACAGTCGGATCTGATAGCTGAACAAAAATAACTTCATTTTAAATTAATGAACATTTGAACATATGGTTCATAAATAATATAAAAAATATATGTGCACAAACACAGATTTGATACATATATAAATATATATTTTCCATTTTACATGTCATACCTCAGCAAAATTTCCATCAGTAAAATATTTCAGTAAAGAACTTTTTCCCACTGTACTATCACCAATTAAAATTAGACGAAATTGGTAATTAAAAATTGGCTCCACCATATTCTCTTCTGTAATAAGAACTAAAATTGCTTGTCATATGTGTCTATTTTGAATTTATCATATTTATAATTCAAAATCGTGAAGATAAAACTCGTATTATCTCTTATGTAAATGTAAACTTGCGATGAACCCCTTACTCCAAAATAATCGAAGTTGCAAAATATTTAAGTCGTATACAATAAACAAATTTACTTATCCCCATCGTGTGTTTAGTTACTTAAATGAATAAATATATTTTGTAAATATTATGTAAACAATAAATATACGTGCTACGAAATATGAAAATTCATTAGAACATAAATATAAATGACAGCACAGTAATCTACGGCCATAGGTAAATATATATATAGAAGAATCGATTACAATGATGCAAACAATATGTGGGCGCCATGTATGAATTAATTTTGAACTTCTTTAAATCATTCATGTAATTCATTTAAAATCCGAGAAAGCCAAAATAATTTTGACATTATATAAGATTAATGCTATTCTGTAATGTGTCTGATAGTTTTGTATAAAACATAATTATCTGTAGAATAAAAATAATTCTGGCATTCGGGCCTACAATTTTTGACAGGTAGTCACTTAAACTTCTTCTATGGCATACCATTAAGTCACGTGATCGTTATCAAATGTTTTATCTACGCTATATCAATAGTATGTCTGAATTCTGAGAAGTCATAAATATTTGTTTGGTGTGCATATTTAACGAGCTTCATAAAAAGATCCACATAAGAATATTCAAAATAACACAACTACTTTGAATAATGGTGTAAAATGTTTTTCAGTTAATGTAAAGTGTGTCAAAAATTAAATATAAATCTACTAATGCACATAAATTGTGCATAATTTTTATATTCTTTTTTCTAAAGGTACTGTAAACTTTCTTCTTTTTATATTTGATGAATTATTCAAATATGTTTTAAAATTAATAACTAATAGCTTGTTATGAATTAATATCTGTTATCAGTATTTATTTATCACCAACTTTTACAATATTCTTCACATGTCTTTATATCATATGTTTATTTATTTGGCAAAATGCGATTTGGTGTAAAAATACTTTTACAGTGAAGTAAAATCATGTCGCTGTGGGCTAAAGCACAACAATTACCCATTGAATCCTTACAACAAATTCAGCAAATATATGGTGCACATTTTCCTATTGAGGTTCGACACTATTTGGCAGGATGGATCGAGGAGAAAATGTGGTATGCCTTTTTTCATATTATAAGCATTTATATTCACATTTACATAACATACTAAAAAATTCCAATAGTTTTTATACTTATTACCTTGGTTTTAAGGACCGATATCGATCAAGATAATCCTCAATATGAACAATATGCCAATACATTTGTAAGATCTCTAGTCCAGGAACTTGAACAGAGAGCATCTACATTAAATTCAGATGAAATGTTTCTTGCAAAAATGAAGTTGACCGAAGCTGCTAAGATGTTTGCACAAAAATACTAGTGAGCTATAAAGGATATTATTAATGTTAATTATACCAGGAAATATACCAGAAAAAAATTAACAATATTGGCTTTTCAGCAACAATCCGTTACAATTGTTTAATTATGTGCGACATTGTTTATCAACCGAAATGCGTCTAGTGCAAGCTGGAGGAATGACTGGAATTGATTCTATACCCCTTGGTGTATTTGGTTTAAATTCTAACACAATTGCAACAGAGGTATATGTTTACTATATATCACTTTTGAAATTATGTATCTGATATATTTTAATGCAATTTTACAGATTCTACAGGAATTAAATGTACTACGTGCAAGAACTAAAGAGTCTGGTGAAGATTTACGAAATATGGAGCAGGAGCAAGAAAAATTTGCTATAAGCTACCACAACTGTACAAAAATGAATGGTAAAAACAGGTTTTTCATATGTTTCTTACATATAAATTCATACAAACTTTTAATATTTCAGCAAATTTACAACATTTGGCATCCTTACCAACAAAAACGCAACAAAATATAGAAGAAGAGAAGAAAATTAGATATAATAAAGAAATGTTAGAAGCCAGCTTGAATCAAATGGTAAATGAGTATGCAATTTAATACTGCAGTTTCGTGCAAGAAAAAGCATTAGTATTTACTGAATTGGGCAATTGTTGAAATGTTTTCTTTTATTCCAGGTTGCTAGACTGCTGGAGTTACGGCTATCCTTAGTTGATAAATTGAAGGGCAGTATAGACCTTGTCAGCAAATTACAGAGTAAGGTTTTAGAAGATGAGTTGATTCGTTGGAAAAGGGAACAACAGTTGGCTGGAAATGGTGCTGCTTTCAATAGTAATTTGGATAGCATTCAGGAATGGTTAGATACAAACTAATGGAAAATATAATAGTTCACAATTAAATATTTTGATTAGTCCAGAAATATCATTTTCTTGTTTGATATTCCTCAATAAAAGTTAAATATCACCCAGGTGTGAAAGTCTTGCTGAAATAATTTGGTTAAACAGAACACAAATCAAGGAAGTTGAAAGATTGAAACAAAAATTAGCAATAGATCCACCAGGGGTGCCTGATATGTTGCCATCTCTTAATAGCCAGATCACACAGCTCTTGAGCTCTTTGGTGACTAGCACATTTATTATAGAAAAACAACCACCTCAAGTGATGAAAACCAACACAAGGTACTGTTCTCAATACATATTTTAATTGATTTTAATCAATATTTCAATAATGGGAGACAAAATTTAATATGTTATATTAAAAAACTTTTAGATTCACTTCAACTGTCCGATTGCTGGTTGGTGGAAAGTTAAATGTGCACATGACTCCTCCTCAAGTAAAAGTTACAATTATATCTGAAAATCAAGCTAATGCTCTCTTAAAAAATGACAAACTGGGTGTGAAAGCTAATGACGCATCTGGTGAAATATTGAACAACACTGGAACCATGGAATATCAACAAGCAAATAGGCAACTAAGTGTAAGCTTTAGGTAAGTGCAATAATTATACAATTATGTGCAATAAATATAAATTTGCTTCAACAAATTTTGTATGAAATATTTTATTTAGAAATATGCAACTAAAAAAAATTAAAAGGGCAGAGAAAAAAGGCACTGAAAGTGTAATGGATGAAAAGTTTTCATTACTGTTTCAATCACAATTTTCAGTTGGAGGAGGAGAACTTGTATTTCAGGTAATATAAATATTTGGCAAAAAAATTATTATGCTTTAAATAAATACTCTTTTATATATTTTTGTAATATAAAGTAAAACATGAAGAATAAGAATATTTAAATGAATAGGTCTGGACATTATCTTTACCAGTGGTGGTGATTGTTCATGGAAACCAAGAACCTCATGCTTGGGCAACAGTTACATGGGATAATGCATTTGCAGAGCCTGGTCGCGTTCCATTTGCTGTTCCTGAGAAGGTATATTGTTTTTCATTTATCATCATTGCAACAACAATTTACATAAATGCTTATATTTATGTACATATTTACTTTATCATGTGCAGGTTCAATGGAAATTTGTAGCAGAAGCTTTAAATGTAAAGTTCCGAGCAGCTACTGGCCGGCAATTAACAGATGATAATCTAAGATTTTTAGCAGAAAAAGCCTTCAGGTAATTTATATAATTACATATGTGATTTCTGCACACATCCTGTAGATTTTAACCTATTTATTCCGCAGGCACTTTATAAATTCAATTGATATAAAATTATGTATTTGTTATAGAGCACTTCAAGGACCATCTCTCTCTGATTTGAGCAATGCACAATTAAGTTGGGCACAATTTTGTAAAGAACCTCTTCCTGACAGAAACTTTACTTTTTGGGAATGGTTTTATGCTGTTATGAAACTTACAAGAGAGCATTTACGGTCACCTTGGATTGATGGGTAAAAACATATTCTATTCTATTTTTATTATTTTTGGTTTATATCTTATTTCAACCTTTCTTCAAAGAAGCAAGCATAAAATAAATATTCTGATTTAGATCTATCTTGGGTTTTGTGCGTAAGAAGCAAGCAGAAGAGATGCTGCAGCGTTGTTCTTCAGGCACCTTTCTTTTGCGATTCTCAGACAGTGAACTTGGTGGCATAACTATTGCATGGGTTGGAGATGGAGATGGGGTTTTCATGCTGCAACCATTCACTGCCAAAGACTTTACAATTCGTACTCTTGCTGACCGTGTTTCTGATCTACCACATCTCACATATCTTTATCCTGACATAGACAAAAATACTGCATTTGGAAAATACTATACACGATTTGATGGTGAGCAATAATGCATTGAATAATAGTTTTTATTTATTTGATCAAATTTAAACTTAAGATCATCAGTAATATTGAAGTATAAATGAAGTTTTTTTTTAACTCTATTATACTATGTGAATTTGAATTTAGATAATGATACAAAGAAAGATGGTTACGTACGTCCTTTATTGATAACACATGTACCTGGTTTTGGTACACCAAGCACTACATATCCAAACACACCTCAGTCCCATTATTTGCAAAGTCCGGATCCAAGTCGAGATACACCATCTGTAGCTAGCAGGTAAGGAAATAATTCTTTTTGTTTTAATTTTTTTGGAATGAATTGTGGCTTTTTTAAAAGATATATGTATATTGATATATTCTTAAATATTTCCATAATTTAAATTACAAATATTTTTACAGCTATCACAATGTGATGCAACTCTGAACTTTACCTTTGTATTATTAGAAGATTTTGTGAAAAACAATACTTTTGATGATCATTCATAAAATATGATTAAGAAATAATATTTTAATATTAATTTTAAGAAACAATTCATAGTATTTTTGTATTTTTATATATTGAACATATAACCTGTGATCTAAATTAAGCCTTAATTAAAATATATATAATAGTTTCTTTAAGTCATCTTGATGAAACTTTCTTTATTAAATACAGTATTCTGTAAAGATAAATGAAGTAACAACGAAATATTAATAACCAAATAATAATAATAAATATTATTGATAATGACTCTCTAAAAACATGTTTTTATCGGCAGTATGCTTGAAAATAATGTGCCTTTTTCTTATTGAGCATTATTGACTTAATCACATGCTTGAATATTGTTTATTATTATAAGCTGCATTTTTCATGGCAGCACAGACACAAACAGATGAAATGGATTTTTTAAAACTCTCTTTACTTGTTTACTAATTTTCTATTTCATAAAACTAATCTAATCTAATGCTTGAATTCTAAATTCTTTCAAAGTCTGTGCTGCCACTGTTATTTTGCATTTATAATTTTAAAACTAAAAATCCTAACAATAAAACTAAAAACATAACATCTGTTTGTGTCTGTAGTTATGGTGGCCCGGGAACTGTTGGCACTGCCGCGGGATCTGTTGCTAATGATATGGATTATTCAAATATGGATTACTCGCAACAGCTTGACAATCTGGATGCACAATTAGATCTCGGTGTTTTACACGATTTAATTAACTAAGTCAAACAAAAATATTTTATCAGTGTACATCATAGGTGATTTTAAAACTAATTTTTAAAGTATTAGACTAAAGGTTTGGACATAATTATGTAACAAGCTTGAAAACGATATACTGTAATATTGAATATCTTAACGGCTACAATATTACATATATATATATATATATATATATATATATATATATATTCTTTATTGCAGTGTCGTTTTTAATTTGCTCTGCTATTTTATACACTGTTTCCAAGCATTTAAGAATAGATCTAATAATGTTAGATAAGATTTTAAAAGTTTCATGTTTATTAAAGTCAAATAATGTTAGTAATTCTGACAAAATAATTTTTAAATATTTGTGGTTATTTGCATGGTTTCGAGATATTCCAAATTTTAAATTCTATTAACAAAGTTAAAATTGTTACTTATCATTTTCATGTGCTATTGATGTGATTAACACGAATGCGTTGTTTGTAAGCTTAATTGGTCACGATTTATATAGTGATTCACTACTTATTTGATTCTCTTATTGAAGAAATTTTGCACATGATTTTAAAATAATTGGAGTGAGCTAATATTTAAGTTAAAAAGTTTATTTTCCAAAATGAAATTTAGAAACATAAAAGATATTTTTATATAAACAAGATATTTTAAATTAATATTTTTCTATATATTCATCATTATGAAGAAAATATTTTTCTCTAAAGATAAATTATGAAAGATATCGTCTATATACAATTTTTTTTCAAACTTGTTTGGTCAAATTATAGGGTTATGGTAAATATGTGATATTGTTAATACTTGAATTAATTCAATATGAATCAAAATATATCCAATGTTAATATTGTCGATGATACAATTTAATAAGTACCTTATTTGTTTTATCTCATATAACTTAACACTTACAATAGCAGAAATTTATGAAATAGCAAATATATTAGTGCCTTGGTTTAGAAGTAGATCCTTCTGATTTTGTGAAGATTTAGAATATGTGCGTACAACTAAATTTAGAATTTTGAATAGTTCAATGTATATCTTTAAACAAATTATAGTGCTATATTGATCATGCCATATTTTTAAATTTATATTTGTTAATAAATTTTATTTCTGCTTCATACCTGCATTTCAATTTAGTGTTATACAGTGAAGTCAGCTCAACTATATTTTCTATTAAATGCTTATTATGTAATAATAATATCTAAACATTTTTTAAAGTAAATTTAGAATATTTATCAACCTGACACTAAAAAAATAGTGTACTTTTAAATAACTTCATATATAAATATGATTCAGTTAACATTATTACAGCAGATAGTAATGATTTTTTATTGTCAGTAGTTGAACATGAAAAATAAAAATATAATAGTGGTATTAGTTTATTTATTTATATAAAATAAGGTGTTATTATATTTACAAAATTCTCTTCAAACTTTAAGTAAAGGTAAGAAAGTAAAAATTAAATCTAGAACATTATGTACAGTATTAACATGAATATGATTTTCTCTTTATTTTATAAATATTAGTATAACCCAGATCAATTTAAATCTAAAAAAAATCTGATGCTGATTTTCTGACAGGTGGTATCTTCAATAAATCGTCTGTGAGATTGTTATTAGCCCCTGCAGTAATAATTTTTGGTGTAGATTTCCTATCAGGTGTGGATTTTATTTTAAGATTTACAGTGGGTGTTGTTTTATGTTTTGGAGTTGAAAATGATTTGTAGACTGGTGATGGTGTTGATATACCAATACTTGAAGGTCCTGACACCAATTTTCCTGTCACCAAGCGTCTAGCTGCTGGTGACATAGATGCCAATCGTTCGAGGCTAGATGAAGGTCTTGGAGATGGGCTAAAACAGAAATTATCACAATTTTAATTTAACTTTATGTAATAATTATTTATGACTTATATTTACCTAGTCATTTGCCTTTTAGCAGCATCCATTGCTTTTTTCTTCAAACCTCTATGCCTTTCTCCCGCCTTTTCTGCTAATGCCATTGCAATTTTCTCTCTTCTGGGTTGTTCAGCTATTTTGAAAGCTGGGCCTGAACTGGATCTAAAAATTTAACGCATTTTAATTTCTGAATTATTATAATTCTGCCTAAACATCATTCACAAATTACCTTAATGGTGTTCCACTTCCATCAAGTCGAAAAGGAGTTCCTTCAATTTCACCCCAAGTCATTAGGGGGCTATCACCCATTGCTGATGGATTTGGAGAAGGTGTTGCAACAAATCCATATCCTCTGATATCAGCCCTAGTTCCAGTTGTTAATGTGTTGCCATCAACTCCTATGCGACCATCCAAAGTACGTTTCTTAAACAAAAATTACTTAATGAATAATAATGTTAAATTACGTTATGTTATTTGTGACATACCTGCATTTTTGCAATTTCTGAGATGGTTTCTTTACTTTGTTGTTCATCAAAAGGATTACAATTGAGTCTTGTGTTACAATGTGAAATTTCCTGCTTCAATTTGGCCATTTCGATTTTCTCCTCTTTTGTTAATTCAACACTATCAGGCACATACATTATATAATTTTTATTTGTATAGGTCCAAGTATGCAACTATAATTAACAAAATGAATCATTTTTTAATCAATATTATAATAAATTAATTAACTTACTGTTTTTGGTTTATCTCTCAAAGCCAGTTGTTCTTCAAAACTAGGCAATGTTAACATATCACTCAGAAGTTTGGGATTCTTATCTTCAACGCCATATAAAACATTAAATTTTTGACGCAATTTCATTTCTGCTGCATCCATTATATCTTGAAAACTCATGTTATCTTCACTTGTGTGTGTACATAGATATTCATCTAAAGATTGTTTTGGTTTCGTATCATTATTCATAGAATTATCTTCACATTCATTGTTATATGCATCATTGGATAATGGATTAGGAGTTTCATTTGGTTTTGTATCGGTGTATCAAATGTAGCTGGACTTGCCACTGCAAATAAATAACAAAGTTAGTTATTCAAAGACTTATGCAACATACAAATGAATAATATAATTTAATAACTGTGATTGTTAGTACCTCGTGTTGAAAGAGGTTTTCCTGAACTATATTTTGCATACAATTCTCTCATTTTAACAACATCATTGCGTTCAATTGCTTCCAGATAATCATTCTGAGCTTTAAGCTTTTCCAGATCTGGAAAAAAGTCCCGTTGGATTATTTTACCTAATTCCTAAAATAAATATTGATATTGTTATTCATTACTATATTAATAATATTAGTAATTTGTTAATGTTATTACCTCTATATAGGTATCCTCATCTAAAACTTTAATCTTTCTTCTTTTTGGATTTTTTTTAACACTTGCTGTTAAAGGTTTTTTGAAAACTATCTCTGATTTATCTAAATTTGCCATTGCTTGCAAAGCACCTTGTCCAGGTTTATTATCGTTTGCTTTTTCTGACATATTGTATATTATTAACTGTTATGGAAAATATTTTGTGTCTAGTGAAAAAAATAATATAAATATAAAACATTACTTAAACAGATTTTAGTTGAAATGTCATTTTCAAACTGTAAAGTTTGACTTTTCGACGATAGATAGAGTCAGTAGAGCTTGCGACGTTTGAAAATGATAAACGTTTTTATTGGAGTGTTTATTTTGCAAAAGACGAATTACTATTACTTTCTAAATGTATTTCGTATTTTATTCTTGAATTAACAGTAACTGGTTTAAATTAACAGTTAACAGTTTAAAATCTGCAATTACAAAACAAACTATCACTCTAAACAATGTAACCGCGATTTTGACAGTTGTGTGCTCATGGTTTTATTTAAACAGTTTCTACAGTGTTGATAGAAATACTTTTATTTTTATATTATAACAGTTTATTGTACAAAATGTCAATAATTTAACAAATTTAAAGCATGTGTTTAATTAAAGTGTTTCGTTCTTTAATTCGACGAATTCAATTTGAACTGCAAGAGGATCATCAAATAAGTTGCTGCAGCTCCTAACACCTGACAGAATGGATTTGGTAAGTACTTTTTTCCCCTTTATTAATGAATTGTCGATTTATTCTTACTTACGTTATACCAAAGTGTAAAATCCAAGGGAAACATTCCACATGATGACAAAACTAAATCCCTGTGCATCATTTGGAGTGAAAATGACATTAGTCGAGGTTTCAAAGATGTTGGCGTTGCGTCGCTTATCAGCATTTCATGGACAATGTCAGTACTTCGTTTTGCCTGAAATTTAGGAAAAAAAAATCACAAAATAAAAATAATTGCCAAACTATCAAGAAAAAACGCCTTAAAGAGATCTAATTGTCTAGAGCCGAAAAAAATCATGAGGGGCAACGCGATTTTGGTTCTATGGCCGCACGAAAGGCTAACTTCACTTTAGATTGTTTTTGAGATCTATAACTGTCTATAACCCTAACCCCAAGTGAAATTTGATATCATACTGCTTGATATCGAGCTGGCCAAATCGAACCCTGAACTAGATTGTGATAACTCACGTTTATAATAAGATTTTAATTTGTACCATCATTATTTTATTAACTTCCCGTAGGATAAGTTACTGTAATCGTTCAAAAATCAAAATGAAATTTTTTACATTTTTTCACGTTTGGAAGGTTTCTGAACATTTTGGCATACCTTAGAAAAAATGGATGTGTAAGTGTATGTATACGAGGTCTGTTCAAAAAGTACCCGGAATTTTCGTTTTTTCAAAAAAATATTTATTTATTCGTCTACATTAATGTGGTCCCCTTCAAAGTAGTCCCCCCCAGATATAATACACTTATGCCAGCGTTTTTTCCAATTTTCGAAGCACCCTTGATATTCACTTTTTGATATGTCCTTGAGCACTCTCAGCGATTTTCTTCAATCGAGGAAAACCGCCGTCCTTTCATGGGTCTCTTCAACTTTGGGAATAGGAAAAAGTCACACGGAGCCATATCTGGTGAATTTTTGCACTTTGCAACACTTTATTTCATTTTTTACGCAAAATTTAATACAAATTCTTTGACTTTTCAATTCTTCCATTGTAAAAATCGCCGAGCTCAGAAAAACACGTCGAACCTTAGCGACTACCACAGACAAAGTAAACAGTGAATATAGCTGAAAATTTCATCATACTTTAGGGGCATGTATACCAACACAATAAAAAAAAATTTTGACAATCAGACACTCCAGACCCGCGAAATTTAATTATTAGTAATTCCGGGTACTTTTTGAACACACCTCGTATATGGATACAATTTTTTTCGGACGCACGGATCAACCGATTTGAGTGGTTTAAGAAACATTCGATTCCTATTGATATGAAGATGTGCTGATTAGTTTTTGGCAAAGGCATGTCCAGCCGTTTCGGAGATACGGTGCAAATAGTGCACAAAATAGAAATCGAGTTTCACCACTAGATATTTCTAGTTTTTACTTACCTCCATTAAACATTTGTCAGAAGCCTTACAAATTGATAAAAAAATGAATTGAGAGTATGAAACCCACCAAAATATCCAAATTGCGGATTTTATCGTTAGTGAATTATATAATAGTAATGAAATAGTGAAATAATAAGCTTGAAATAATACTGTAACAAATGTTATAAGAACATAAGAACTTAATATTATTGAGTAAATATGTTTTAACTGAAAATGTAAATTGCTCAATGTACTTATTTTCATTAATAAATCTCCTATGTTATTACATTTCAAACGATTTATAACTTTTTTCTTTAGGAAACGTTTTCTTAAACTATCATTTACTATTTTAAATCGAAAACTTAAGATCGATAATAAAATAAGATAAAAATTGATGCAAATGCAGAAAATACTATTAGGAATAAAATTTGCTGATAAATTTGTCCAGACAAAAATAAATTCATTATTTATAGCATCAAGTTCTAATTGCAAGGATACTATAAATATAGAAATGTTTATAGCAAATGACCAGCAAGTTATAAAACAAATATAATTCTTTATTCGCCAATTATGTTGTTTTAAACAAATTTTATAATTTTTATCGAACTGGTTTATTTTCTCTAGCCAGTTTTTTATACTTTCTTTAATAATCACACCCATATATTGTATGTAAATTATAAAAAATAAAGAAACGCAATGTTGACATAGAAAAGCAACCATATCCAAGGCCTCAAAAATATTTGTTGAAAATAATTTATAACTTGAATAAAATAAACAACATAAGTAGTATGTATAAATAAAAAAAGATACGACTTGCGAAATTATTTCAGTTGTTGATGCCGAACAATGTATATTTAAAGCAATAATTCCGAAGAATTTTGAAATTATGAAAATTGTGATCAAACATTCAAAAACATTCTTTGGGAAAGATTTTTGGTTCATCCTCTTAATAAACTTTTGTGGTCCCATAACTTCTATTAATAATTAATATATTTTATTAAGAATTAACCAAAAATGTTTTTACTTTCAATAAATAAATTTGAATCAACACACTAGAAAAATTTACTTCTTTCATTAACCACTCAATTCCTTACATAAAATTATTTCTTACTAAATTGATGAGCAAATGTTATCATTTAATTAATACTTAATACATTAGAAATTAGTTAAACCTTCTTGGATCATTAATCAGAAATATGCCAATAATGCTTTCAAATTAATGAGTGTTATTGTTAATTAATAATTCATAAATTATATGTAAGATGTTTACCTCCAAATTGAATTCTTGAGCAACGTATATCATGATGTATAAAACACAATGCACATAAATAACAAAATTGATGAGAGATAATTTCATAAATTGGTTCTCAAAGGATGAAGTTTTGCTAAGGGAAATAAATATCCAGAATCCATAAAAAACTGTTATAATCAATATACTTAATATAACAGTTGCATTTACTATTCCAGTCATGTATAAGAATAAGTTTCGACATTCGCAAATATCGCTTTCAATATTTAATAAGTACTTTATTTGACGCACAAGTTCCTGGTTTATTTTCCGATTTTGTTTTAGTCTTTGGAATTTCTTAATTACTATAATATTAGTTGTTCTATATAAAGACATGAGAAAATAAAACGTGATTGTAGAACAAGAACAATATGCAACTATGCTTAAAAGTGGCAAGGAATAAGCTATTAATTCTCCAAGTACTATACTATCTTTAGAAGTGATGTTAAAAGTTATGTATTCAAAAATAAAACATATCACACACCCGGTGAACATAGTAATTAAGCAAATATTAATGAACATCTTTTGCTTTTTATTTATTGTAGCAATACCTACAGAATTTAAATTATTTTCAACATTCAATAATTTATTGAACAAAAATTCCGTTTTGGTGGAAAAGTAGTATCTATTAAAATTATATGCAAATGGTAACAAAAATCCGGTAAAAAGTAAAACAAAATCGGATATCTCTTCTAATGAATTTTTAACAAAATCCGAGTAATTGTACATAAACAATTCAGAAACTATAGCGTAAATATAAAAACATGAACAAATCATACTGCAAATTGTTTCTGATGAAAATCTACGGTCCTTAATTTTCCGCGTTTTTACCACAGACAATCCGAGATGATCCGAAATAAAAAATGTTGTTGTTACATATTTTTGTAAATTTTTCACTACCAAAAGTTTTTTAAACAAGTATTTACTTTTTGTGTTTTTCATGTTTTATATAGAAAACGTTGCACTACGTATTAAAGGAATTAATTTTAGACAAAAGGCGAAAATAATGTGTTACCTCTGATAATTAAGTTAATTAGAACTACGCATTAATCAATTAGTTTAGTAATTTCTTAACAGCAAAAATATAAATAAATAAATGTAATGGCCAGACACACATTAATGAGTACAATGATACTAAAACGCAAACTCTACAATATTGTAGTACTTTGGAAATATGTTAAATTTTGAATAATAGATACCATCAAAATTTGGGCCACGCTATTAGGAATCCATCTTGTGCTTGTACATCTGAATTCATATAATTACAGATATCATAAGTACAAAATTAGTTCATATTGAAAGCAAAACTTTATTTTAGAAATGAACATTCAAAATTTGTATCTAAAAAGCCAAAGGTGAATTATTAGCAATTAGTCAATTATTTACACGTATCGGGAAGTTTATCCAACTTGACTCAAGACAAAATCCTACTTACACCTAGCTTTATTATTAATGTACTTGATAATATATTATATATATATATATATATATATATATATAATGTTTACCTCAAAGTTAAATTCTTGTGCAACATATATCATAATGTATAAAACAAACTGAGCATAAATAACAAAATTGATGACTGATTGTTTCATTAATTGATCCCGAAGAGTTGCACTTTTGATACTGTAGTGAAATATCCAATATGCGTAAGAAACTGTTATAACCATTACACTTAATAAATTTATTATATTCACTATTGCAGTCACATATAAAAATAAGTTTCGACATTCACATATGTCGTTTTCAATATTTAATAAGTATTTTATTTGACGCACAAGTTTATGGTTTATCTTCTGATTTTGCTTCAA